GTCCTAGTCTAGGGTCAGTGTCACACCTTGAGTATGAGGCGTGTCAGTTTGGAAAACACCATAGAGTGTCCTATAGCCCTAGGATAAACAGAAGAGCCACAGCCCCTTTTGATGTTATACACTCTGATGTTTGGGGTCCTTGCCCTATGTTGTCTAAGTCTGGATATCGATATTTTATTATTTTTGTGGATGATTTTTCACGTGTAACTTGGTTGTATTTTATGAAAAATCGTTCTGAACTATTCTCCATATTTTGTACCTTTTATGCTGAAATACAAAATCAATTTACTTCATCTATTAAAATTCTCAGAAGTGATAATGCCAAAGAATATTTTTCTGCTCCTTTCTCCTCCTTTCTGTCTACTAGAGGTATTGTCCATCAGTCATCATGTGTTTATACACCTCAGCAAAATGGAGTTGCTGAACGCAAAAATCATCATTTATTAGAAGTCGCTCGTACTCTCCTTTTTCACATGAAAGTCTACAGAATTTTGGGCAGATGCTATCTCTACAGCATGTCACTTGATCAATCGCATGCCTTCTTCTGTTTTGGGTGGTCAAATCCTGTTCTCCATCCTTTTTCCATCACAACCTTTATTCTCTCTTCCTCCTAAAGTGTTTGGGTGCACGTGCTTTGTTCAAGATGTTAGACCTCATGCATCCAAATTTGAACCTAGGTCCCTCAAGTGCATATTCATGGGTTATTCCCGATATTAGAAGGGTTATCGTTGTTTTTCTCTTGTCCTAGGTAAGTACCTTATCTCAGCTGATGTTTCCTTTTTTGAAACCACTCCATATGTTGAGTCCTCCACTTCATCTACTTCTCTTGAAGCATCCCCTGATGATCTTCTTGTTTACCACATTACCCATCATAGTTCTCTACCATCTCGTCCTCCTATCACCCAAGTATACTCTCGCAGGGTTCACCAGCACCATGAGACACCTGCAGCAACATCTGATCCACTGCCTCTATCGACTGCCTCGCCCTCTGATCTGGTTCCTCCTTCCTCTGACCATGATCATGATCTTCCCATTGCTCTTCGTAAAGGTAAACGCTCTTGTACCTATCCTATCTCCTCATTTGTTTCCTATCACTCTTTGTCTTCATCTTCCAAGTCTTTTATTGCCTCTTTAGACTCCGTGTCTGCTCCCAACTCTGTGTCTGAAGCAATTGCTCATGGTAGGTGGCGAAGGGCTATGGAAGAAGAGATGTTGGCTCTAGAACATAATGATACATGGGTTCTAATGTGATGGGTGGCGAAGGGCTATGGAAGAAGAGATGTTGGCTCTAGAACATAATGATACATGGGTTCTAATGGGGTTGCCTGAAAATAAAAAGGCTATTGGGTGCAAATGGGTTTTCACAATGAAGGCTAATCCCGATGGGACTGTGACTCGGTTGAAAGCTCGGTTGGTTGCTAAAGATTATGCCCAGACGTATGGTATTGATTATTCTAAGACATTCTCCCCAGTGGCTAAAATGACCTCTGTCCGACTATTCATCTCTCTTGCAGCTTCATATTGTTGGCCTCTTCACCAACTTGATGCAAAAAATGCTTTTTTACATGGTAATCTTCTTGAAGAGGTTCACATGGAGCAACCTCCGGGGTTTGTTGCTCAGGGGGAGTCAGGAAAGGTATGCAAACTGAGGAAATCTTTATATGGCTTAAAGCAATCTCCACGGGCGTGGTTTGGGAAGTTTAGCGAAGTGGTAACTCAGTCTGGTTTACATAGGAGTGCTTATGATCACTCCATCTTTTATAAGCAATCTAGTTCTGGCATCATTATTTTGGTTGTTTATGTTGATGACATTATAATCACTAGCAGTGATGATGTTGGCATTCAGAGTTTGAAAAACTTTTTGGCTTCCAAATTTCACACAAAAGACTTGGGTACTTTAAGGTATTTTCTGGGAGTTGAGGTTTCTCGGAGTAAGAAAGGGATTTTTCTCTCTCAATGCAAGTATGTGTTAGATGTGTTGACCGAAATGGGTCTAAGTGAGGCTAAGCCTTGTGACACTCCTATTGTTCCTAATGTGAGATTGAATGCTGAGGATGGAGAGATGTTTGGTGATCCAGAGAGGTACAGACGGATAGTTGAAAAGTTAAACTACCTTACAGTAACCCGTCCAGATATTGCTTTTTCAGTGAGTATGGTGAGTCAGTTTATGTCATCTCCTAGGACATCTCATTGGGATGCGATCCTCCATATTTTGAATTATCTAAAAAGAGCCCCTGGACGTGGGATTCTTTACAGTGATCATGGTCATAGTAAGGTAGAAGGTTTTTCATATGCTGATTAGGCAGGATCCTCTGTGGATGAAATCTTATTTCTTGGAAAAGTAAGAAGCAACCGGTTGTAGCTAGGTCAAGCGCAGAGTCTAAGTATCGAGCTATGGCACAAGTTACGTGTGAGCTCATATGGACAAGACATCTTCTTAGAGAAATTGGGTTTGGTGACCCAGAGACTATGGACTTGTGGTGTGACAACCAAGCAGTCATACATATAGCAAACAATCCAGTCTTTCACGAGAGGACTAAGCATATAGAAGCGGATTGTCACTTTGTACGAGAGAAACTTGAACAAAAGTTAATTGCTATTAATCATGTTAGAACAGGGGAACAACTAGCTGACATCTTCACGAAGTCTCTAGTTGGTAAAAGGGTAACCTATATTTGTAACAAGCTGGGCATGATAGATATATGTGCTCCAGCTTAAGGGAGAGTGTTGGAAACTATGTATATATATAGTGTAAAGGGTATATTTGTAATTATTGAGTGTGTATATATTTGAGTTAGGTGTACTGTTGATATTAGTGAAATATAAAGGTTAGCACTTCCATTGAGTAGATGCACTCTCTTGTTATTTAGTTCGCAATGAGTGATTTTGAGCTTGAGTTAAAAGATTGTGCAATTTTATCATAATTGGGTTTTATGCCTAGAGTAGAAGAATTTTTTTAGACAATGAAGAGAAGATCTCAACATTGTGAGACAAGATTAGATAATGGTCTTTAACCATGGGGTCTAAAAATTTCAAGAAGTGCCCTTCATTTTCACCTTCATGTAAATATGATTTCAGTCAATAAATATACATGTTTATTATTTAGAAAAATGTGAAGATAAAAAAAATTTATTTTTTCTTTTATTTTTCCTCCTTGCTATAGCTACAAAAAAAAATGCAAGCAACAGAGATTGGGATTAATACCTCCGGGGAGAGCAAGCTTTCCTGCATCAAGATTATGAGTAAATATTAGACACATAGAAACAACTAAAATATTAGATTCAACATGAGAAAAAGGATATTTTTGAGGCTGTATAACCACAAGAATATGTAGTGTTCAATAGATGATAAAGTCACCTAATGCCATTGCAACAGAATAAGGATCCCTTGTCGCCAAATCAGAGAGGATTTCCAGAGAATGTCTCACAGCAACAGGATCAGCGAATGAAACCCTACAGTAATACCATGATTAAGACACATTATAAAGTGACACCAGCAAACAAAAGGATCTAAAAGAATATAAGGGAAAACATTAACATGGGACCAAACATTAGAATCAAAAAGAGAGACACAAATACATAAACAATATTCAAATTTGAATTAATACAAGGAAATCGCTGAAGAAAAAGTAAAGACAAAACAAACAAAAAAAACAGTTACAACCAAAATTCAACACTACAAAAGCGGACATTTGTCAGAATTAACATCTGTCTAGAGGAGAATAAGATCTGACAATAAATGTAAATAGGCAAAAAAAAAAAANGACTATGGACTTGTGGTGTGACAACCAAGCAGCCATACATATAGCAAACAATCCAGTCTTTCACGAGAGGACTAAGCATATAGAAGTGGATTATCACTTTGTACGAGAGAAACTTGAACAAAAGTTAATTGCTACTAATCATGTTAGAACAGGGGAACAACTAGCTTACATCTTCACGAAGTCTCTAGTTGGTAAAAGGGTAACCTATATTTGTAACAAGCTGGGCATGATAGATGTATATACTCCAGCTTGAGGGGGAGTGTTGGAAACTATGTGTATATATATAGTGTAAAGGGTAAAGGGTATATTTGTAATTATTGAGTGTGTGTATATATTTGAGTTAGGGTGTATTGTTGACATTTAAGTGAAATAGAGAGAATAACACTGGCTTCCAAGAGTTACAACAAATTCAATTAACATATTTAGTTTGTTACTGGTACAAGGGAAACTGTTTCTCAAAAAAATATAGATCCTAACCCCAACCAGATCTCAAAATTGGTCAATTTAGGCTAATCTAATTTAGATTGAGAAACAGTAACCCTAACCCACCACATTTTCACTTTAATTCGAATCAAGATTAACCCAGATTTGGTAAGACTCGAAAACAGACATCCAAGTCCACACATTGAGGTGGAATGAGTGTTTTGATGTGCTTCCATATGAAAAACTATGTTGGGAATTGGGATGTGCTTACATTGGGTTGACTCAGATTCAAATGCTCAACTGAAACAACACCAGTCAGGAATCTAGTCAGATTGAGTTTACCTGCTTTTCATTTGGCTAATAGATGACACCATGAACCTGTTTATTTTAGAAAGTATTGCAGGTTTGGGTTTGACTTTGCCAGGTATAATTCTCATTTACCTAACTCCTGACCTATGAGTGCTCAAAGAAACAAAATACTAGGTGTAGGTTGAGAAGCTAACTACAAAACAAAACAAGATAGATATTTGTATATCATTCTTTAATTTTGATATTAATACAAAGTCTGAGATTATATATATTCAATCTGTTTAAGATAAATGTAGCAGGGAAACTTTCTGATTTAATGTGGATATGAAGAAACTGAGAGAAAGTAAGATATAAATATTGACAATGCAAAGGCAAGAAGATTACTACTGCATGCAGGAATTTTAAAAAAATTAAAAAATTAAAAAAATTAAAAAATTAAAAAAATTAAAAAATAAAATAGAAGAAGCACTGTATATAATGTTTCATGATTTAATGGGGCGAAGGGCAACAAGTGGGCAATTTAAGGCAGTAGGTGACCTTTCAGAGAGCCGTGATCATTCAGCCTTTGCAATTGATACTGGAGGATGGAAGAATCAAGATAGGATCGAACAGTTTTCCTATATGTTCCGTTAACAAGCAACAGAGGAACAGCTGCTGCTCGCCGTGCCACTGAAAAGGCCATCGCTAAAGCAGGATCCTCTGAAAGTGTTAACCTGTAAAACTACTCACCATCAGTACGGCTAACAATATAAATGCGAAAGGAAAGACAATTATATCCATTTTGATGGAAGAAAGACCAACAACAAATATCTAATAGTAGTATCTTATTACTAATATGAAAACAATGTAACATGAAAGTACCCATATAGAGGATTGAAAGAGATAAAAATGGAGTCCAAGTGCATGCAGAATCCACATGGAAGTGATTTTGGGAAAATAAAATAAGATATAGGACAGAGCAAACTTCATACATGTGTGGACTAAATGTTGGTTTCTGTGAAGGTAACAACAAAGAGGAGAGCCCATCCATAACAGCCTTCAAATCCACAGGCAAGTGCTTGACTTGGCTAACTTTCTGCATCAATAAAGTTTAGGCGTAAAGACAATGTTTGATTTTATACAAAGCCCCCTTAGAACAATCAAACATACATGATACCTCCTGAGTGATGAAAAACAACTGAAAGGATATCTTTTCATAATAGTGGAATGCACCATCAGCAATTGATGGCGATATAATGTGTCTCATAGATCCCCACAGTGTAGCACCTAAATGTGCAAGAAAAGTATCCCGTGCAACTGTGTAGTTTTGATAATCCTGCATAGATATGATTTAGTGCCAACATGTCCTCCCTTTGAAAGCATAATCCAAGCTTGAAACAGGGAAAAAAGTGTCATTTATACTAAAGGGCCAGCTGGCCTACCTCATAAGTGTCACTGAATAGATTCCAGTTTTCCATTCGTTTTAAGGCCTCTATGGCCTTCCTCCTATGATTTTCATCATACTCTTCACCATCAAAAGCCTGAAGCTCATTCTTTAAATCCTGCATTCTCTCGTCAAGCTCTGAAATCGTAGTGATTAAATGTTAGATCAACAGCCACAATTCATGTAAAAAATAGCAGAAATAAGGAATCATTTTTGCACCATAAGCCCAATATACCAGAAACACAAATGGCATTTTTAAGTCCAGAAGTACATCACATTTTTTTTCTAAATTGTCTAGCCCTTAGTCTGAAATATTTGACAGTCTCTTATCAAAACCATAACATTTGACATATTTGTCCAAACTCAAGGGTGGTTCCAGACAAAAGTCTCAATTAGTAATTCTTCAGTGTTGTGTATCTAAGGCAAACATGACAGAGATCCATGAATATTTTTTCTTTTGTGTTTACTATACTACTTGGACATGCATGTGAAAAGCGTAAGAATTGAATTCCACAACAAACAAACAGCAAACTAAGGCTACAGCAAACCAAACAAATTTTAATCAGCCCAACTCCACAACCCAGAACTGGAAGAAAAAAAAAATGAAAGAATACTAATATAAGGACACAAAATTGATTCCAAACTGGACCCAGAAAAAAAAAAAAAAAAAAAATTCATGTACACAGGCAGACTTGATTTGTATTATACAGCAGCTGAAGCTACATTGAACATACTCACCTTCACAAAGAGCAAGTTTAACTTTCCTTCCCTTGCAGTGTTTGAAAGCAAAAAGCTCATAAATATCAATTTCTGCGAGAAGAATATCAATTGCTTGATGATCTTTCTGCAATATTGAATATGATAAATTACAACAGGGTATAGCAAAAACCAGAAAAGAAGAAATTTAAAACACACAACATTATCTAACCTCCCATGTGGTTATTAAAGTTAGTGCCTTTGTGTCTTAAGTTAAAAAAATACGCTCTTGCATAATTCTACAAATTGGATCATAATTTAGAATAACCAAAACCCAAAAAGTTCTCGCAAAACCAAAGAATTACCAACAATTAACTCAAAATACTTTCCTATAACAAGTATTCAAACTACTTCCATACGCACAATCTCAAATATATTTGTGATTGACAATCTAGAGTTATTTTTATGTGCACAAATGCACACTAGACAGTTCTCTAGTACCTTCACCACAACGTGCAATAATAAGAGAGTCAAGCTATATCAACTTAATTTGTAACTTAAATTTGTGACAATTTTTTGCCCATGATTTATGACAATCTAATGGTTGTCAAAGAGAAGTTCAAGACAGTTATTTGCAACTTCTGAACCATTAAATTGCAACGAAGAGATGGCTACTGAATTAATGTCACTAATTTAAATCACAAAATTAAGTTGATAGTCCATATATATAATAAGGAATCGCCACAATGAATAGACACTTGGAATCAATACGTGACATTTACAAATGCCATTCAATGACATAAATAACTTCTATTAATACCATGTGTTCATTAATAATGCAACTTTTTATTTGCTATGATGGACGGTTAATAGACTATATAAGCTCGTGCAGTTCTTGACTTCTTGTAAACAGTTAGAGAGTTTAAGCCGCAAGAGATTGTCAACTAAAGTAATAGTATCCATAGTTGTTAGGCCAAAATACTGAAACACAATTAACAGAGAAAGCTATTAAAACCTCTTTCTTGAACTTTAGAAATTGCTTTAGTCATTGTGAGTTTATGAAAAAACTTTTGTTATGTCAATACGCCGAAATCCATGACCAGATGAAAACAATGCAGTGGGATTTCTTTTAACAACGTTAGATTGAACTTCATTAGAGAAAGATCCCCAAAACCTGACCTCCAGTTCTTCCAGTCTTATGCGAGTGTTCTACTTATAACTTATGATCCTATGCCCTAATCAATTAGAAAACATTTCCAACTAATAGATGTTCAACTAAAAGACTGCCTATGAGCTTATTTTAGTCAATTTCTTTTTGAAGAAATAAGAACAAATTTTCAAACAGTTATTAGTTTCTTAGAGAAAAATAGATGACAGAAGATTTGACATAGTCAATGACTTCTTTTGTCACCACAAAGAACATACATCACCAAACACTGCAAATTTTTCCTGGATAGCATCTTGCAAGCGATCTTCAGCTTCATCTTCAGAAATTTCTGTATAAAATGATATTATGTAAGTAACTATCAGTGAAGAAGATAACAGAAATTGCACAAAAATCTCAATGATGCATACCACCAATAAGCCATATACTAAAAGTAGAAATTGACAACAATACCAATTAGTTAGTCGGCAACCCATGAACCAACCACATGTAGGGTAAATGTCAAAGATTTAATATTGTTCATTTTCTACAGTAAGGCAAAACAATCATGGAGTAAGTGGAAACAAGCAAAACAGACAGTACGTTTATGAACATATCGACCTCACTAAGTAATATATAATAATACGTATTGGTGCCAAGGAACATTGCAGATTTTCTGATAATATATGAACATCAACACCTGCTTTTTTTCCATTGGTAGCTGAGAAAATCTCCATCCCATACAAGAGAATAATTTAATGAAAGAGAAGCTACAGACGGTACCTGCAACCGCACCAATGGTCTTTCCCACATTTGGTAAACTAAGTTCAGTACGAACACCTTCTCCACCAACAGCAGGCCCCCATGAGAAAGGGCCAGCAGTTAAATCAATAAATGCCCACCTGAGACAGTATATAAATTATGCTTCAAAATGCTTTGTGCTTGCATGTGTGTGAGGGAGAGAGATAAAGAGTGAAATAGAGAGAGAAAGAACCTGTCCTTTCCAATCCATGTATCTGTGAGGCATTCCGCATGAAGACCACTAAAGTCCCCAGATTTTAATTTTTTCTCAAGAAGAAATTTTGTATCTTCATTCTTCCCTTTCAATAACTTGAAATATAAATAGAAACAAAGGAATTTTATTAAAAGAAACAAACCTATCATATGGTTGGCATTGCTTCATCAATTTGCATCTCGAAACAAGAAGACCACATACCTGTAAAACTTTGCTCTGAATAATATCAGCAGTGTCCTTGCCTTGATAAAACTTCTCAACGTTATTAAGTGCCTCCAGACAAATGTTGTACCATTCCACCTGAATACAGTAAATCCATGACAACAGCCCTTATGATACAATATTTTATAGAAAATAATGACATCAATATTATATAAAACAATCTGTAGTTGGGAATGTAGTTGAATAATTATTTCAAATTACAAGAGATTCCACATTTTATTGACAACGTCAATGGAATTATCCAACAAAGTGTTTAAAAGTTAGAGGAAACTGAAAACTTTGATCTGGAAATCCAGCACTGATTTATGGCTGATATAACTTAGAATGATAAATTTAGGATTAAAGTGAGACTTAAATTATGCTTCTGTCAGAACATCTTAGGTAAGTTTTGTTTGATTTTTTTTAATTTTAATGGCCACGGTTAACATTTGTAAATAAAATTTAGCAGGACATGAATTTTAGTATTGGTGTATGGATGGCGGGTGGCATCTAGTGAAGTCATTGTTCCATCACATTTAATCCTAGAGCACTTCTAGCAAACCAGGTTTATTTACCAGGAATCAAAGATACATAGTATAAACGTCCAGGTACTCTCTCACTTCAGTATGATACACCACGAAAATTCCAGCAGCTTTCCAGTTTCCATGAGGCTTGAATGTCTTCCTTTCAAGGAGTGATTATTTTCATATCTTCTACTCTATTATTTAGGTCTTTCTTCACAAATTTGATCTTAGTGATCTTTAAGATTGCTTATCTACAAAATCAAACCACACTGAGCTCTAAATTATTCCTGTCAAATCCTAACAGCCTATCTGCTTCCAAAAGCAACTGCAACCCCAATTGCTTAAAAAGCCCTTTTAGGCATAGTAAGTCTTCACCTAGTCCTGAAAGTTCTAACAGCCAATCAACCATAAAAAAAAATTCAAAAGCCAACGAAACTATGCACCATAATTGCATCTCAGCCAACCATAAACTCTCAGCCCAGGAACCCTGGTATTTTTCTTTGTTTCAATTTTTTCCCTCACTATTATATTTAGATAAGACGAGATATTTCATTGAAAGAAGAAATCAATTGCATAAAGGTAAACATATATTCCACCATAATATTGCAAAGTGAAGCAATTAGAAATCTCAAAGAAAAAATAAAAATCATTTTACCTCAATTCTCAAACAAAGAAACATAATACCTTACAAATCACTAATAACTAATGCCAAGAACATACCAAAAAATTAGCCTTATGCCATGAAAATTAAAGCTTCTTAGCTTTTAGATACTAGAACACTCTCCCTCTTTTACTTTACTCTAATTTTTTTTTTTATAGTAAACAGTCAATTTCTACACTTGTATGTATTCTATACCAATATTTCTTTTAGGGCATATTTGGACATCCACATAAACTTAATCTTGAAAAACAAAATATATCCAGAGAATACAATAGATATGGAACCCTAGGACCTCCTAAATGATTCCAACTAGCAAATGATATTAAAATATAAATTTATAACCATATAAAACAGCAAGATCGCATGAAAATTGAAGTTTGGGCTTTCCAGTAGATTCTCCACTCTTTCAACTTTCAGATAAATTGAATAGGCATCAGTGAAGTAACCACTTGACCTAAACACGTTAACTAATAGGTTAGTCCATCAATAGTATATTCGGTTTTGCCACAACCGCTCACTCGCAAAGCTAAAATTTAACAAACTTCTCAAATGTATAAAGCACAAATATAAATGCAGACATGTGGATGGTTCCAATATAGGATCTCATGATCAAACTTACTCTTATATTATGTTTAAATCTACAAGTTTAAATTAATAAAGGTCCACCAGTAACACTTGAGCGCCAACATATTTGGAAAGTTACTCACAATCTAAAGGATCAGTAGCATAGAAGATTAGAACCAACAATAACGCCTTGTATTAATAAATTAACTAGATAAAGCATTGGATAATAATATTAATTATCACATTGGTATGTTCTCTTATCTAAATACACATATCATAACTTTCCCCATTATAGATATTTTAATAAAGATCAAATGGGACTATAGATTAAAATGACACTAATAGAGAAAGAGCAATGACATGATTAAATATTTCAAAAAGTAGGTTCCAAATCTGTACGTGGATATCAATGAAATAAAAATATCAGCCACCGCAACCAATGAAAAAATGGATTGCTTGGAACTGATACTACAATGTTGGCAACCAAAAGGGAAGTGTATCCACTATTAGCTAGTCCAATGAGGTCACAATAGGATATTGCTACCAAAACATTTTATGAACTTGATCTAATATCATATCACAATAAATGAATTTAGATTTGCCGCATAATAGGTCCTATTAAAGGTGCGATAGTGGTCTCATAAGGTATAATTTATCAGTGAATAATTCACAAGATTACTCCTCTTCGACAAAATTTAATGCCAAAGGGAGTGGCAATTTCTCAACTCTTTTTACACCTAAAAAATCCCTCAACCTTCCTTACATGTTCACAAACTTCCAAAATAGCAGCTACTTCTAGGCCCTAAAACCTTGGTAGCAAGAGACTCAACTTAAAAAACCTTTACTTTCTTTATTCCACTATTTTCTCCTATCAAATAAGAACTTTTTGCTTATATAAAAATAGTAACTAACATAATAAGCCCGCAATCCACTTCAAAAGACCAAAACTATATAGGCAAACATATTCAAGAACACAACACTTGAACCCAAAGAAATGTGTTCATTCATTAATCTTCTCATTTTCATCTTGACGAAAGCTCCTTGTTGGAAGAAAAAAAATGCACTACATTATAGATCAGATAATAACAAGTCTCAAAATATCTGCAACTGGAACATACAACAAAGAAAAAGACCAACAATAAAACTACTCGGGCACACAATATCCCTTTCCTTTAAATAAAAACCTCAACTATAAATATGGCAGTTACTTTCTATAAAAACATACAGCAATATTCCCTCAGAGTGTAATCTTCATTTTCCATTTGTCATTTGACCCGACAAAATGAAAATAAATCAAAAACAACTCCTCAGGTAATCAAATACCGTAACATTTACCAGTTTCATAAAGTATGCAAATAGAGTACTAACCGTATCAGTGTCCTCAGCTATTGTCCAGGTAAACTTCGTCATTGGATGCTTTGCATATAATGGTCTCTTAATCTTATTGAGCGCTGTAAATTATTTAGTATTATGAATATCTTAATTCTGGAAATCAATTTGAAAATGATAATAAAAAATTCAAAAACCTCCAGAGAAACATGCATAAATCAGAATTGGACTATCTTTCATACCAAGAAGACTATCTGGAATACTCCCTGACTGAAGAATTTTTGTTTGCAAACTCTTACTCTGTTAAACAGAAAACTGTAAGTGCTGATTGTTTCAACATAATTAAAACATCAAAGGAACAATAAGAGAGTCCTGTATATTTATAAAAGCAGCAAATTTAGCAAGCACCTCAAGTGCTCATTATTTTATTTTTATTCCTTTAAGAAATTCAACAAAAATAAATTAAAAAGTATTGCATAAAAGGGAACAAGCTGTCCACAGAATATCTATGCATGAATGGGTAAAGACAGCCCAAACTAGCCAAAGATACAGAACATACTAAAAGGTTTCCTTTTTTATATAGAAATACTAAAAGGCCCTGATATCCACAAAAACACAAACTATACTCATTTAATCAAATCACTGCAGCCTCCCAATTCTGAACAATAAAGAGAAAGGGTACATCTCAAGAAATTCAAGTGAAATAGAAGCCCAGACTTAGCTTTGTCCCATAAGAATTCAATCCCATCCCCTTTTTTGCCTTCAAAATTATTCTGTTTCTTTTTATCCAAATGACCCAAAACATAGTCATAACAACACATGCCCATTGAACTCTAGCTTTTCCATCACCCCCAAATGCTCAATTTTTTTACTGAAAGGATAGGAACATGAGAAAGGAGCAGCCCTACAGAACTTAGAGGCATAGACAGACCTACATATTGATGCGTGTGGGCTGATGATCCCACTCAAAAAAAAAAAAAAAAAAAAAATCACTAATTTGGTTTGGTTTTTTTCTTTGACCACCCTATATTTGTATTAATGTTTCTAAATTTGACCCCACTCATTTACTTTTTCCCTATGTTATTTATATATTTTTTTTAACTTTCCCCCTCTAAAATTAATTCCTGAGTCCGTCCCTGCTTAGAGTTATAAATAAGATTAGACCCCAACTGCCAAGCTAAAGGGCATTTCAAAAACAAGTGGTCTAAACCCTGAGTCTCTTTTTTACACATAGTCAACCAATTAAGAGGCGTCTTGGGTTTTCTAATCTTGGGTAAGTCATTGGTGTTTTACCAAGGCTAGTGTCCGTTCCAAAATCTTTATTTGTGAAAGAAACTTTTGCTTTCCATACCAGACTTGAGGAATCAAAAAGTAGAATAGGAGTATCATAATATGATTATAATATGGAGAACTAACAAAATCATAAATTCTTAAAGACTCCAATAAGTGGCAAATAGCAAATGGCAAATAGCAGAAGGCAAAAAAGAAACGAGTACCTCTTTAAGAAAAGTTATTTCAGATTTGGATAAACCTCTCCTGGAAAAGATTTTAGAATCAGAAATTGGGGGGAAAATCAATGCAATATATAATAAATTTAATCAATACTTTAGGAACATGCACAACAGTAAAACACTAGAAATAAAAAAAGGTCTGGTAAGTTTATAAGCAGAGAAGATTCTAATGATGGATGGCTTAATTTCTAGTGGGATAAAATTTCATCCTCAGCATCTTTACTTATTCAATTTTATGAATACAGATTAGGAGGTTGTTTTGACTTGAGTTTGGAGTCGACTGTACTGTTTTTATCATCTGCAATGTTTTGGTTCATCGAGTGAACTGCTGGTTTACTATATTGATTATTAATACAATTTTACAGGGTTCTTATGAAAATATATATATATATATATGGTAAGTAGAGACATAGCTGAGAGTACCATGCAATTTTCCCCCAAAAACAAGATTTAACAAGAAATTGAAACCATTAAGCAATGTCACGGTGAATATATATATGCTTCCCAAAGTACTCACCGATATCCATATTTAGCTCTTTTCGCTTCAAGCTTGGGATTCAAAACAAAAATGTTATATGCATTTTCAAGCTGAAGATATTCAACAAGACTGGTAAAAATAACATCCATCATATCAACGTCTACTTGCCAAAGAGCATCTACATCATCCCTGAAGCAACAAAATAGAGTTATTACCAAATCAATAGGAGAGACATTCTATATGAGAACAAAACCCAAAATATAATGTATGATCAGTGTTCCATTAATAAACTCAATAATTTAATCAGAAAAATATAATGAACTTCATGCACAGAGAAGGCATTAACTTACAGAAACTAGTTTCTATACGTACTCATGCAACTTGGGACATGAAACATATTTATCCAATCTCATTAGAAACGAATATGTATTGGGTCTACAGAATAAAGATCAAAGAAGAATCTATACAGGAGCAAGGATTATATTGATTATTCCCTATACTTCTATGAGTTTATTAAGCATACCACTAGCTCATCCAAATATATCCTCTCTGATGAATGAAAATTTTTTATCCACCTATTTTTTGTTTTGGCATCCTTACCCCAATGGGCCCCACAAACACTATATTCTAATATATATTCTGTCTCTCCCCTAATTCTTCTGAATTCCCCCCATTTCTACTTCTTCTTATTGTCCCACATTTCTAACTTGTTCTCTATCTTAGTTCTATCTTTCTATTTCCCATCACTAGGCTAGCTAATACCCGCCACAGATTACAATATGTGGCATATCATGCATGTTCAAAACAGAGAAACTGAAATGACTAAAGCAAGTTACTGATAGCTATAATAGCTAAACAAGATTTTACAAGTTAAATTATAGAAAATAAATCACTTCAGGCACCATGTAGCAACAAGTACCCTGTTGTCTTTCACATACAACAAAGTTAAATTATCAATTGCAAGAATATCAGGACAGGAATAATTCACCTGTTAGAAGACACGTCATCTTTGCGGGCTAAAACTTTTATGGCATGCTCGAAGATAGAAGTAACCTTTTCACCCATTTGTATGGCATGAACAGAAAAACTAGACAAGAAGATATATCATCATAATGATAATAAACTATTAAAGAGAAGCAGAAGTCTACTTCAGTAAGAGAAAGATAAACAAAGATTTAGAGAGAAAAAACTTATTACTTGTAGTTTATGTGACTGATTATGGGAAGGTGATGGCGTTGCACTTTATCTACACTAATTTTGTAAAATGGGGTGAGAACTTCTCCAATTTGTGGAACTCGTGTATGTTCAAAGATGTGATCAATATTCATGAACCAACGCTCAAGTTCATCAGGGTGAAGATTAAAATCTGAAGAATTGAAAAGTAAAATAATCATAGAACCCATAAAATCATTACAGTAATTATAAGTTTTAACCAGTAAGAGAGACATAGTAACTAAAGTTACATACCTTGGTTCCCTTTTCCTTCAAATCCTATAAAAATGAAATTCACAGGTACAGGAACGTACATAGAATCTACTTCCATAAGTTTTAGATAATTTGCAATATTACCTGAAACACAAATCAAGAAAATTAATTAGAAGGCTTAGGTGCTGCCGATGTCCAAAATAATGATCCTTATTTCCTAAGGGATGCTTGAAATATCTTCATTTAAGGTTCAGGAAACAGATAAAAACAGTAAGAAATTAATAATAAACTCAAGGTGCTAATTAAAGAACCTAGTTTTATCACCAAAATTCACTAATATCCCATGTTTAAATTTTGGCTAATTTACATGATTTCAGAACAACCAATGGCATTAAATTTAAAATAGATAAAAACATTGTGATTACCAAGAAGTATTATGAAAATTTAGAGAGATTTAAACAATTTAGGGAAGATGACCCAATATGTTACCATTTACTAAACACATCTTAAGCCCCTGGAAATTTTAAGATTTTCCTTCTCTTATGACAAATAATCAGGAAAAAAGGAAATGGTCTTTGACATGCTTCGGTGCTGGCCCTGAAGTCTTAGGTACAATACCCTCCAAATTGGCCACCAAACCCCAAGGCAAGAAGAAGAACCAGGGAAGTAGGATAGGATGTGCAAATTGTCTTCAACATCTTTACCAGGCCTAAAGTCTCAAGGACAATCATCAAATCCTTGAGTGAGAAGCACCAGTAGTTATAAATTCCACAACAATGCTCAACAAAATTGCTACCCTCTACAGTCATAAGAGAGGTCTCAATTGCAGAAGCACTTCCAAAGATTACGAAAAAGGAGAACTTGCAAAAGGAATTATCTAGGCCCTTTCCAAAGAAGAATACAGTAACATCGTTGTTATAGCAGACAAAGGCCAAACCATTACAATATATGTAGCAGCCTTTTACTAAAAATTTGAAAAACAAAAACTAACTACCTGCCCTGCTGAAATTAAGAGCACCCATTTTGCCAGGGCTGGAAGATTCCAGATCATCAAAATCTGAAAATTAACACACACATAATGAAATTAAAAAGAGTAAGGATAACAAAGCCATTTTAACAATTATGATGAGCATGACAAGTACATACCACCATGTAAAACACCCTCGCTCCAGAATCTACTCCTCTGTTTAAGGTTAAACAAAGAAAAAACCGATGACTTTCCAGTTTTACGATTCCCGGACTCAGCGCCATACGACCCAGATACTAAGAACTGCTAAACATAACTCCATAATTAGTATTTCTTTGAGATAAATCACTACAAATATATAAACAAATAAAATTCTACTTGATTCAGCGGTATATAAATCATGTTCAATTCATTTGAAAAAAAAAATCAAAATTCAAGAAATTCAAGATAAATTAAAGAACTCTATCACAACTGCATCAAGATTCAAAGGTAAGTTCATTACATTATCTCTAACAAAGATTGACCGACGAATTTTATCACAAAATAATGATTCTCTAAAATACCTAAAATGTTGTTTTTAAAATTGGTAGCAAGAATGAAGAAAATGATAATTGAAGGAAAGACGAGAATGAAAAAGAAAATGATGTGAAGTGATGGTTACCAGTAAAAGAAGAAAAATGAAGAAAGTGGATCTGTGATGATCCATTGAGTATGTGATGATGAGTCCAGACTCCAGAGTCGACACACTGCGAACACACCTCTGCCCGACGACCCTGAAATTGTTAAATACGATGGCCGCGAGGAAAATATAATACACGTCATTATTACAGACGTGGAATTTGATGTGTCCGTTCACTGCTGGCTTAAACCCAACAAGGCCATTAACAAAAGAATTCGAGGAAAATAAATAGTACTTTGGGGCGTTAGGTTAAGAAATGTTCGATTACTGATAATATCGATTACTGAAAAAATATATTATCTTACAAAATTATTAAAAATCTTTAGAAAAATATATTTGGTTAATTAGTAGATATGTTATATTAATATGTTTGATTATGTGGAATAAATTAGTGGGTATGTTATTTAAATTATCAAATTGTCCCTTTTTCAAATATTAATATAATATTATTTTTATTATTAATTTTTGAATAATTTCTTTTAACCCTCCAATATTTCAGATTTAGTTAAAACACCCCCGCTTATATAAAACTTTAATTTATTACGAAATCACCCTCACCTCCTGCCACCGCTATCGCTACAGCAAACTACTGCCGAAAGTCTCTAAAAGTCCCCGTCAGTCCCTCGTCGTGACCAAGAGGCTCTGATATGGTCGTTTCTGATCATATTGATGGCCAAAAACGGCCATATCAGGCTAGATGTATTCTCACCAGATCTAGAAGAGATCTGGCCGTTAACAGCCAGTTCCATCGATCTGGCCTGATATGGCCATTTTCATCCATTAATATGGCCGGAAACTGCCATATCGAAGCCTCCCTAAGCCTCCCACCGAATCTTGTTCTTTTTTAGGGACTCTAGCGACTTTTCAGCGGCGGTTCATGGTGGTTGGGTGGTAGTGGTGGTGGTGACTGGGTGGCAGTGGTGGTCTGTAAATTGTTTTAAATATAAGGGCATTATTGTCCAAAATTTTAATTAAACAAGGGTTAGAGAGATAACACTGGCTTCCAAGAGTTACAACAAATTCAATAACATATTTAGTTTGTTACTGGTACAAGGGAAACTGTTTCTCAAAAAAATATAGATCCTAACCCAACCAGATCTCAAAATTGGTCAATTTAGGCTAATCTAATTAGATTGAGAAACAGTAACCCTAACCCACCACATTTTCACTTTAATTCGAATCAAGATTAACCCAGATTTGGTAAGACTCGAAAACAGACATCCAAGTCCACACATGAGGGGGAATGAGTGTTTTGATGTGCTTCCATATGAAAAAATATGTTGGGAATTGGGATGTGCTTACTGGGTGACTCAGATTCAAATGCTCAACTGAAACAACACCAGTCAGGAATCTGTCAGATTGAGTTTACCTGCTTTTCATTTGGCAATAGATGACACCATGAACCTGTTTATTTTGAAAGTATTGCAGGTTTGGGTTTGACTGCCAGGTATAATTCTCATTAACTAACTCCTGACCTATGAGTGCTCAAAGAAACAAAATACTAGGTGTAGGTTGAGAGCTAACTACAAAACAAAACAAGTAGATATTGTTATATCATTCTTTAATTTTGTATAATACAAAGTCTGAGATTATATATATTCAATTGTTTAAGAAATGTAGAGGGAAACTTTCTGATTTAATGTGGATATGAAGAAACTGAGAGAAAGGATATAAATATTGACAATGCAAAGGCAAGAAGATTATACTGCATGCAGGAATTTTAAAAAAATTAAAAAATTAAAAAAATAAAAATAAAATAGGAGAAGCACGTATATAATGTTTCATGATTTAATGGGGCGAAGGGCAACAAGTGGCAATTTAAGGCAGTAGGTGACCTTTCAGAGAGCCGTGATCATTCAGCCTTTGCAATTGATACTGGAGGATGGAAGATCAAGATAGGATCGAACAGTTTTCCTATATGTTCCGTTAACAAGCAACAGAGGAACAGCTGCTGCTCGCCGTGCCACTGAAAAGGCCATCGCTAAAGCAGGATCCTCTGAAAGTGTTAACCTGAAATACTCACCATCAGTACGGCTAACAATATAAATGCGAAAGGAAAGACAATTATATCCATTTTGATGGAAGAAAGACACAACAACAAATATCTAATAGTAGTATCTTAATACTAATATGAAAACAATGTAACATGAAAGTACCATATAGAGGATGAAAGAGATAAAATGGAGTCCAAGTGCATGCAGAATCACAGGGAGTGATTTTGGGAAAATAAAATAAGATATAGGACAGAGCAAACTTCATACATGTGTGGACTAAATGTTGGTTCTGTGAAGGTAACAACAAAGAGGAGAGCCCATCCATAACAGCCTTCAAATCCACAGGCAAGTGTTGACTTGGCTAACTTTCTGCATCAATAAAGTTTAGGCGTAAGACAATGTTTGATTATAACAAAGCCCCCTTAGAACAATCAAACATACATGATACCTCCTGAGTGATGAAAAACAACTGAAAGGATATTTTCAATAGTGGAATGCACCATCAGCAATTGATGGCGATATAATGGTCTCATAGATCCCCACAGTGTAGCACCTAAATGTGCAAGAAAAGTATCCCGTGCAACTGTGTAGTTTTGATAATCTGCATAGATATGATTTAGTGCAACATGTCCTCCCTTTGAAAGCATAATCCAAGCTTGAAACAGGGAAAAAAGTGTCATTTATACTAAAGGGCCAGCGGCCTACCTCAAAGTGTCACTGAATAGATTCCAGTTCCATCGTTTTAAGGCCTCTATGGCCTTCTCCTATGATTTCATCATACTCTTCACCATCAAAAGCCTGAAGCTCATTCTTTAAATCCTGATTCTCTCGTCAAGCTCTGAAATCGGAGTGATTAAATGTTAGATCAACAGCCACAATTCATGTAAAAAATAGCAGAAAAAGGAATCATTTTGCACCATAAGCCCATATACCAGAAACACAAATGGCATTTTTAAGTCCAGAAGTACATCACATTTTTTTTCTAAATTGTCTAGCCCTTAGTCTGAAATATTTGACAGTTTTATCAAAACCATAACATTTGACATATTGTCCAAACTCAAGGGTGTTCCAGACAAAAGTCTCAATTAGTAATCTCAGTGTTGTGATCTAAGGCAAAAATGACAGAGACCATGAATATTTTTTCTTTTGTGTTTACTATAATCTTGGACATGCATGTGAAAAGCGTAAGAATTGAATTCCAAACAAACAAACAGCAAACTAGGGTACAGCAAACCAAACATTTTAATCAGCCCAACTCCACAACCCAGAACTGGAAGAAAAAAAAAATGAAAGAATACTAATATAAGGACACAAAATTGATTCCAAACTGGACCCAGAAAAAAAAAAAAAAAAAAAAAATTCATGTACAACAGCAGACTTGATTTGTATTATACAGCAGCTGAAGCTACATTGAACATACTCACCTTCACAAAGAGCAAGTTTAACTTTCCTTCCCTTGCAGTGTTTGAAAGCAAAAGCTCATAAATATCAATTTCTGCGAGAAGAATATCAATTGCTTGATGATCTTTTGCAATATGAATATGATAAATTACAACAGGGTATAACAAAAACCAGAAAAGAAGAAACTAAAACACACAACATTATTAACTCCCATGTGGGTTAAATAGTGCCTTTGGTCTTAAGTTAAAAAAATACGCTCTTGCATAATTCTACAAATTGGATCATAATTTAGAATACCAAAACCAAAAAGTTCTCGCAAAACCAAAGAATTACCAACAATTAACTCAAATACTTCCTATAACAAGTATTCAAAAACTTCCATACGCACAATCTCAAATATATTTGTGATTGACAATCTAGAGTTATTTTTAGTGCACAAATGCACACTAGACAGTTCTCTAGTACCTTCACCACAACGTGCAATAATAAGAGGTCAAGCTATATCAACTTAATTTGTAACTTAAATTTGTGACAATTTTTTGCCCATGATTTATGCACATCTAATGGTGTCAAGAGAAGGTCAAGACAGTTATTTGCAACTTCTGAACCATTTAATTGCAACGAAGAGATGGCTACTGAATAATGTCACTAATTTAAATCACAAAATTAGTTGATAGTCCATATATATAATAAGGAATCGCCACAATGAATAGACACTTGGAATCAATACGTGACATTTACAAATGCCATTCAATGACATAAATAACTTCTATAATACCATTGGTCATAATAATGCAACTTTTTATTTGCTATGAGGACGGTTAATAGAATATATAGCTCGTGCAGTTCTTGACTTCTTGTAAACAGTTAGAGAGTTTAAGCCGCAAGAGATTGTCAACTAAAGTAATAGTATCCATAGTGTAGGCCAAAATACTGAAACACAATTAACAAGAAAGCTATTAAAACCTCTTTCTTGAACTTTAGAAATTGCTTTAGTCATTGCGAGGTTATGAAAACTTTTGTTATGTCAATACGCCGAACCAGACCAGATGAAAACAATGCAGTGGGATTTCTTTTAACAACGTTAGATTGAACTTCATAGAGAAAGATCCCCAAAACCTGACTCCAGTTCTTCCAGTTTATGCGAGTGTCTACTTAACTTATGATCCTATGCCCTAATCAATAGAAAACATTTCCAACTAATAGAGTGTTCAACTAAAAGACTGCCTTGAGCTTATTTTAGTCAATTTCTTTTTGAAGAAATAGAACAAATTTTCAAACAGTTATTAGTTTCTTAGAGAAAAATAGATGACAGAAGATTTGACATAGTCAATGACTTCTTTTGTCACCACAAAGAACATACATCACCAAACACTGCAAATTTTTCCTGGATAGCATCTTGCAAGCGATCTTCAGCTTATCTTCAGAAATTTCTGTATAAAATGAATTATGTAAGTAACTATCGTGAAGAAGATAACAGAAATTGCACAAAAATCTCAATGATGCATACCACCAATAAGCCATATACTAAAAGTAGAAATGACAACAATACCAAAAGTTAGTCGGCAACCCATGAACCAACCCCATGTAGGGTAATGTCAAAGATTTAATATTGTTCATTTTCTACAGTAAGGCAAAACAATCATGGAGTAAGTGGAAACAAGCAAAACGACAGTACGTTTAGAACATATCGACCACTAAGTAATATATATAATACGTATTGGTGCCAAGGAACATTGCAGA